GAAGCTTACATGCAATATGAGATAACGAGATTAACAACAGAAAACTTGAATTTACAGGTATACATATAGCGTGTAGTAATATTATTCTCATTTTATATTTTATGAATTTATGAATATTATATATAATTTTATGAATATCATATTTTTAAGAACCCATGATGAACTAATATAATAAATGTTTAATATGATAGGATGTAGAACACAAAGATTTTTAAATTTCAGGAAGGAAAAGATGCCTTAACTGATAACTATCAAAAGCTCAAATCCCAATTGCATGTATTGACAAAACGACTTACAGATAATGGTCTTTCTGAGTATTTAGAACCTCAAAAACACACCAGCGCAACAAGTAATGCTATGACTGGAACAGGTGATTTTTCATAATGCTACAAAGTTTTAATAATAATTTAAATGCATTACTAAATGATATTCTGAGCTCTGTTAGTTTTATGAGTTTCACATAAATTTCCTAGCATTCAGAATTTTGTTTATAGCTTGTATATAAAACAATATGAAATTAATGCTCATTTATATTGAACAGATGAAGTTCGATTACCACACATTAGAAAGAAGGATCGGGAATACTTTGGCATGTTTGAATACAAATTTGAAGATGAAAATATTATTATAAGACGCTTAGTAACAGGTAAAAATATTTTAATGAAGTTTTTTATGTATGGATATTAGATATTTAAATATTTTTTGTTTCATAGATTTAAAACCAAGAGTTGCTGCTACATTGCTTCCATGTCTTCCTGCATATATTGTGTTCATGTGCGTCAGATATACCGACATGATTAATAATGATATAAAGTAAGATCTATCATTCAATCATTCCTGACTGCTACTAGAAAAACTATTAAGAAGCACGGTGAAAATTTGGATTACAGAGCCTTGTGGCTAGCTAATATGTTAAGGTATTTTTTTTGTTTTTGTTTATATTACTATATATTATAATGAAATGTGCATGTACTGCTAGTACATTATAATATATTAAAAATGAATTTGTATTTGCAGACTTTTGCACAACTTAAAACAGTATAGTGGCGATGTGGCTTTCCAAATCAAGAACACCCCAAAACAAAATGAACAGTGTCTTGTAAATTTTGATCTTTCAGACCATAGACAGATGATTTCTGATTTCTGTGTTTATATTTATCAAGGTAATAATTATAACATTGAATGAACTAAATTTGTTTTATGATTTTATTTTGAGTATGTGATTGTTTTATTTAGATGCAATTCAACATCTCCAAGATAAACTTCAAGCTTTAATTATCCCTGCAATTTTGGAACACGAAGCGATCAGTGGCCTTACTAGCCATAAACAGCAGGTAAACATATTAGCATAAAGAATAATGTTTCATAAATATAATCATTTTTAGTTAAAAAAAACCAGTACAATTAAAAAAAAAAAATTAATGAAT